ACTTTGGATACAAAAACTGAGCTTCGTTATTTCATTAACCCCTTCTGATTTATCAAAGGGTAGATCAAATGACACATACCCCTTTCAATCAACAACCGTGCAGTTATTTAGGAAATTTACAGTACATTTTTTTATTGGCTCCTATTCCGTCATTGTACGGAGATACTAAAGAAGATAAAATTTTGAAAAGTTTATAATAAAGCCAATTTATAGAAAAAAAAATTGGTTGATTATATTTTTCAATCGTAAGACTATGTATTTAAATTATTAATTTAGCAGCTACCAAAAATACGTATGTGAAATTATCTAACTAAAAGAGCTATTTACATTCATCTTAAAATAGGCTGAATTGTTTATATTATATTTCGTATTTAGTGACAAAATACAACATCTCAAATAATTTCTTGTTAATTTATGGCCTCTATGCACTATTTTGAATTTCCATTTACGACTCACAATACCCGACGACTTCAGAATAAATAAATAAAAAATTGTACTTAGATTCTAATTTAAAAGATTATATAATCTCTAAGAGATTGTTTCAATATTGATTTTCCATTTATAAATTAAACGCTGAAATTAAGCTGATTAAGAACTATTAACCTGACTTGAAATTTCGATCAAGAAGCACTGACCGTGGTCATAAACTGACCTGGGGTAATACATCCGTATTTCAATAATTTTCCATAACTGGCCAAAACCTCTAAAACCTCAGTAACAGAGTTAACATTAGAAGTAAGTCTTGGATTTCTCTTTCATTATGAATGAAAAGACGACCTTTTGTCCATCCTTTATTTTACAACATAACCTTACGAACATTTAATCTTTAACATGTTTATTATCGTTAGCTTTTAATTAATGAGAAATGGTCAGCATTTTATACGACTTATTATCCCTTACAGACTTTTAAGTTTACTTTTTGATATTGTTGAAGTTAGTTTCAAATTTTTAATCTTTTGTAGCTTAGCTAAGTTATTCATTACATTAATTGCATTATTACATTTAACTTCCATCATAATCCTTATTACTTGGTCATTAGTCGTACTAGCGCTACTTTATGACTTTCTATACCTTTCATTGCATTGATCAGATATAAGAACAGGCAGGTACCAAATATAAAATGAACGTTACGTAAGCATTTTACTGATGATTCTTCTGTGCAGTCATTTTTATACTCCAAGCTTAACTATTTTGAAAACAGTTTACAAAAAAAAATATACCACATCGCATATGAAGAAATATATTCATATCGCAGACGTTCGTCTACATGTATCGTAAAAAATGGGACACTGACATATCCATTGGATGTTATCCCTTTTGCTTAGCTCCTGATTATTTTGCCTGAGTTATTGCCTTTCTAATTTTTCTTTTTCTATTTTTTTTTTATATTTTTGAAACATTAGATACTCGTGTGCTTGTCTAATTTTATGTTAAACTATGTCCCAGCCAAAATGTTGAATATAAATTTTCGTTAATAAGAACGAGTCATTATAATGGGTTTTTGTGTTTTATTTGGCTCTTAATTCTACAATTAAACAATTTATAAAATACCGTAAGTTTTAGCTATTGTCTAGGAAACCAAACCAGATTTCAGTCTGTCAGTAATATGTATTAATTAAGAAGTGGTTAAGCTTCTGATCTACAATAAACGGATTGTAACCAATAGTTGAAACTTTTAATGAGAGTCAATAACTTGTTTTATTTGCTAATATAAATAAATTATGAGGAGGAAACCTGGGAAACCTGGACTTATAGTTTCACAATTATGAGTTTGAAATCACCAACCCGTCTTCAGCAAGCGTGGTGATTAATGCTCAAACCTTCTCCATGTCAGAAAGAGGCCTTTGCTCAGCAGTGGGCGTTCATAGGCTGATGACGACATGATAACTAAGATAATCGGTGTGGGTCAAGCGTTCACCATTTTGATAGTCTTTTTCTAAATGAAATTTCTAGAGAAATCTCACTATATGTGTTCACATAACTAACCAACGAGTAAATTCTCTTTTGTGTTTGATCGTTTTTAATGAGTAATAGTCCTTAACTACTATATACATTTGGTGGTGTAAAAATAACAATTTATTTGAGGTTTTGTGTCTGTTTTATGGATTACAAAAGCAACGAATCCTACAAAGTTAATGACGGTGTAAAGTTTGCAATGCAAAACTAGGTCAAATATAATTACTAATGAAGTAGAAGACTTTAATGTATTTTGTTATTTCATACCTTGTTCTATTTTTAATAATGATCCATTTCCGCGGAGCATTAACTTTTGTGAAATCATAATTTTACTCATAATTTTTGAAAATTGGGAGAGTGTTTTCTGTAAAACTTTAGTTAAATCTGATGAATTGTCTATGTTTTTTGTACTTCTTGGTCCTTTACAAAAAAAAAAACAGATTTATTTTTTTGGCTATACATTTCATTAACACGGTGAGCCAATTTACACGAAATAAAATCTTTGAACCTTGTATTGAAAGACTCGGTTCAGATAATCAATCTAAAACCAAACATAGAATCTAAAACAAAACCAGATATAGGTATTTATAAATAAATATTTATAAATAAAGCTATCATATCTAAATATATAAAAAATCGCAAATTATCTAATTTATCAATTTAATACCAAATGAGTGGTAGTGGATAATTATCCTTTACACTATCTGTATTCGATTTCCTTAAATCAACACTGATGACGTCTGACTTTAAGTGTCTTTGTTATTACTAATACAATGAAGTTCTAAACGAAAAATATCTATCTGGAATAATGTTGCCAGATTTTAGATCGTGTACAGTATTTAATACAAAATCAATCTCTAGTGAAGACAGACGGAGCGAATCGAGTGTCATCAGAGATAAAATCCTTTTGTAATTTTTGAATAAGTCGTTCTTTCACATGTTGACAAAGAGTTGGCTACAATGATTATATGTCAATCCAATTCCTAGCTCTACTATGTAATTGTATTAAGCTCCCATTATTGCTTCTTGTTGTAAAACATTAATTGTGAAAATAATTTTAATACTTGCTTTTATACACCTCAGTCTGAGTTTTAACGTGTTACTTGTTGTTGTAAAGATATTATATGGTGATTATAAAATATAAATATGACTTTGAGAAGGACAGCGTCATTATACCATAAAAGAAAGAGGTGACAGACAACAGAAATTTAAAATACATGTGCACACGAGCTGCAAATATTTCCCTCTACAAACAAACAAATTAAAACCACCTACTAGAAACTCATAAAAATATAAAACTTAAATCAAATGGAACTTACTTATAAAATGTAAAGATTTATTTTAGTTTAAATTTTACTTTCTAAATTTGGATTAAATATATTCCCATTTGAGGCCTACTTAACTATGTATGGAATGAGGACATGTTTTAATTAATTAAAATACAAATGAATTATAAATGCTGACGATCACGATTCTATCTTACAACTTACTGGATATTTCATCCCAGCGATTCACAAATTAGCTATCACGTCTTTACTTAAGTTAGACAATAAATAATATTTAATTACTTTGCAAATACTTCTCATAAATTTGAACAATATTCATGAATCTATGAGATATATACTACGTATCTTGCTGTTATCTTTTTATGTTATATTATAGTATGTTTGGGGAATATTTTATACATAGAATTTTTTTGAAATCGGATTTTTATATAAATAAAAATGTATAATAAAGAAACCTCATAACAAAAGGATTCAAGGATCTTTTTAGATCATTATTGTGACTGCTGTTATCTGTCTTGACAATAATTAATTATCTTGTACTTTTAAGATATTTTGTTAAGATATTATTATTGTCGCAGTAACTGTATTATTGTTCATGGAATCTTTTGAGACAAGTGAAATTGAAAAGCTATTATTAAATATCCTTTGACTTCAGAATGAAATTGTAGGTGACTTTGACTATAATAGTATGCCACATTGATTACATAATAATTTATATTATATTTGAAGACAATTAACCGAGCAAAAAATAATTATAATTTTTATAAGTAATTTGTTATTTTAAAAGTATCTTTGTGACAAGAATTTAATGTGCCATTGTCAAACTTCTTTCTTGCAAAATGGTAAGTGTATCTCGTTGCCTCTGTTAACTTCCAAAACGATATAACAGACGATTAAATAAAATTTCTTAAACTTAAATAAAATTTTGTAACAAGGCTATCCACGATTGTATGTAGAAAATTATATTGTACTCATTATATATTTAAATATTTGCTGGGCTGTTATATATTTTTGATTTACTTTTATATTAGTGGTTCAGTTTTTTTGTGGATACTACATATATAATTTTTTTCTCCTGAAATATAATGAAATATAGTACATTATCATAAGGTTAAGATTATTCCTAGCGTTTGTTTGTTCTTTATTAGCCCCGTTTTGGTTACAGTGTTTAATTATTGTCTTCCTGGCATTTTTCTGAGAGAAATAAAACGAGGTCTTTCAAAATTCCAAGAAAGAGTATATCGTAGTGTTTTACGAAAATTTATATTGTTCGTTTCTTTTTGTAAGCTTTCACTTTAAATAATCGTAGCAATCTCCTGACTAAGAAATAAAATAGTAATTTAATTTTAGTTCTAATCAACGCAATTTAAACAAAATGTCAACTAAAGTAACTGAGTCAAAAAACTAGGCTAAACATGACATGCGAGTCCTAGGATATTATTATTTAATTGCATCCTAATTTCTTTAATATTTATTTTTGAAACCAATATATAATATTTATTCATGTATATATAAGGAAACATAGTAGTTATTATTTTAACTACCGAAAATAATAATTGTGTCGTTAAACGCTATGACGTCACTCACTACGGCAATAAAATACACAAAAAGTTCCATACAATTTATTGCTTGACGGATATTATTCTCAATAAAATCTCAAACAACGTTTATAACGAAACGAAACGTTCTTGCGTAAACTATACGAGGCACTGAGAGACAGGAATCACAGATCGAGAGAGCTTAGAAGATAGTTGGACATCAATATAGAAAGCTAGAAGGAGGGGGTCGAGGAGATGGTGCTGGTCGGGCCAGGCGTGGGTGAAACGCTCCTAGCGCTGCTTCGTTCGTTGAGGAAGGTCTCTCCTCACGAACTCTGAGCTGCGGAATGCGCCATGCATTGCACGCAGCAGTCAATGCATGTCTGTTTAACATCCAGTACGCTGTGGCGTTTATCGCTGAATGCGCGTAGCCACACAGCAGTGCATACTGTGCTAACACTATTGGGGTATTAAAACCAAAGGCGCTAAAGATAACTATAGCTGCATAGGGACACCAACAAGCTGCAAATATTGCAGCAATTGCAAGAAGTACATTTCCAAGACGTCTTCGTGAGCGTAATGTCGATGTCTGCGGTTGAGGCCCAAGAAGACTTGGCTGAAGTTTCTTGGCTCTAATATCTCCCACATCTACTGCGTCTCGGCGTTCTCGAGGGCCAACTCCAGCTACTATTATGACGTGGGTTGGTCGACGCATTAGAGGAACTGGTAGTGGTAACTCTCCATGAGCAGCTCTGGCAGTAAGTGATAAAGCAGTGAGTTTCACTCGAACAGCCCAGTGACATCTAGTGACTGCCACCACAGGAATGCAATAAGTGATAATCGCATGTACCGCTGCCAATGGTGGCCAGGACAAACAAGTTGCTAGGACTGTCATTGCACCTAAAATACATAAAACACATATTAAGTACAGTCCATTTAAGGTGATATTTTGTAAGAATATACTCAGAAACACCATACCAAGTAACAAAGCTGCAATCCATACAAAGGTGATCGCAATATAGGGTCTGGAGCATAAGGAGCCGCGTCCACGTCGCACAGCACAACAACGATCCGCAGCTATCGCTACTAAGGAGAAAGTACTGGCAGCAACAGGAAACGACTGAAAAAGAAATGCTAATCATAATTATAGTTCCAATAATATGTAAATTCAAGTCTTTGATTGATTGATTACCTCACATAAACAAAATCTCTAACGGTTTAAAAACAAAACTGTCAAAATAAAGATCAACGTAATAAGAATCTTCCTTACACTATGAGTGATCTAAATAAATAGAATCTAAATTGGTGACTGCAAAATACAAGAGTAGCAATTCTACCAACTACCTAATATAAGTAAACTACCTCAATATAGTGCGAGACATGACACGGTAAGTGATGTAATCTGGCTGCTCTAGTGGCAGCTAGCGGAGCACTGGCAGCACACACAAGAAGATCAGCTGCACAGGCACTCAATAACTGTGGAGTACGAAGACGAGATGCTCCCGAAGACGCCAGAGCAGCCATTAAACTTACATTACCTACAAAGAATATAAAAATTAACCCTTATTTCTACCATTGCCAAATAGATATCAGATAATAATAAATATACATTATAAAAGATTTCTCATGAATCTTACCAATAATACCGAATATAGAAACAAGAACATATAGAGTCAGAAGAACAACTACATGCGCTTGCGCACGCTCCACAGATATCTCCTCCGTAATGTTATTGTACATTACGTCGCATCATTGGGATCTGGAAACAAAAAAGGTATACTTAAAAATTACTTTTCATTGTTGTGTTTGTTATTTACTTGTTATGTTTTCCATTTCACTCTTTTTTTACACCTGATGTTTTCAAAGGTGCTCTAGGAAAATCATTTTTTTTATTTCTTAATCAATAAATAAAAACAATGTTATGTTAAAGCACAGATTCAACTGATATGTGCCTTCGAATAGAAAATATTTTTTTTATATTATAACCATTAGAACGTCTTGAGATGAAAAAAATAATAATAATATTATGCTTTTTCCATGTTATTTATCCATACTTATTTTTTACAAAACTTTTGTACTTTACTTCTAATTTTTATTAGTAACGTTGTTAAAAATAAGTATAAGGTGTTTTGCACCGTAGGGTGCAAAAAAGTAGACAAAGATATATTCAAAAATAATTATTCATTTAAACACGAACTATTAATATAACACGGACAATAATGTATTTAAATAACAATAATTAGTTCAAACAATAAAAATAATAAAATGATGAAATATTTAAATAATAGCATTTATATCAATAATAAACATTCAAATATTAATTCTATTTCCTACATTTTAACCAACCATTTAAGTTTCTTCATTTAAATTAAATAATGTATTTATTTAGAAATTAAGCCTTTTTAATAAATTATTATATACCTGCTAAGAAAAACTAAAGCTACAAAGAGTTTTCAAATCACTTACAAGTTAGCTATGACCCTTCAGTTTTTTCTTTAAGGAAGCAGGTCAAATATTACAAGTATTTAAAAAAGATATCTAACATTTTATTTTATTCGTTACCGAAGAATACTTTTAAATAAATTAATTTAATACGTAGCATATATCAAAAACGTTGTGTGTTCATTTGATTGGAAAAATAAAATTCGGAACATGTTACAGTAAATATTTACTTTTAATGTACCTAGTTCGATTGTAAAATCAATATGGTTATTAGTTATACTATGAAAAATAAAAAAATCTCTCATGTGGTCGAGAATAATGTGTTTACTAATAGAAGTTTTATAATAATGACTATAACATAGTAATCGCTGTTAATGGCTTGAAATTCATAGAAATATGGTTATTAAAATAAAATATTTGAACACGAATGGAGTAAACTTTAGTTGCTGCAATATATTGTAACAAAGCAAAAATCATATGAAATATTCAAAAACTCCACATATTGAGGAATATCTCATATAAAATCCAATAGCAAAAGTTTTAAATGTAACAACGATTTTTCTTTATTACTAAAATAAGTCAGTCAGAGTCAGATTTGCTGTGCTAAAGAGATTTAAAGTGCTTAACAAATCTATTTTGCTTTGTCGACACAACAAATCAAATGTTAGATGTTACAGCGAATATTGCGGTAATGACACAACTTGCTAGGTTATAAATCTATCACTTTCTGTGGACGTTAAACACAGGGAATCACTGATCACTCAATTTAAGCTCATTTTACTATATTGGACTATGTACGTGGTTCGAGGAAAAATGTTTTGAAACATGACATGTATTTTTTAATCACTCTTTTTTGCTTTAAAATAATTAATTTATTTAAAGGTAGGCTACAGTAAGTGCTGCTGTTCGATAATTTACCGTAAAAATATTTATTGAATGACCCGCAGTTTTATTAACCTCTATTTGCTTAATGGAGTTTTTTTCTGACCGTAACAATAATACATTTAAAGTAGGATCTTGCACCATATTTCTATGAAATAATAATTAACAAATAACATTATAACTTAAAATGTGGTTGATTTTACCAATAAAATTAATATAAATGAGACAGAATGATCACTTCCCTATAAAGTACTATAGGGAAAGTATTCGTTTCATAGATTGTGGTGTACAAAAAACTAACTTTTATCGTTTTTTTATACGTCAGAGAAATTCAAGCAATTATTATAACAGAGACGTTAAAACATAGTGATATAAAATGCTAACATCAAAATTCTCTCGTAATTTATTAAACAAAATACTATAATATTTTTGTTAACTGAAGTGGACGTACATAATTTAAAGAAATGAAAAAACATTATTTTATTCCCAACGGAGCAACTAATAATGAGTACAAAATAAAAGTAAAATTAAATATTATAAATTATAATTTTCTTTTATCTATTATAATAACATATCTGTGGTTGTCATATTAGTTTCAGATTCTCAACTTCAAATATATTTTAAGTCATTTTATAATGAAAATAAATGTAATAAAAAAATGGAAAATATCTTGTGTAAGCCGTATATAATCAGACTTTAAATTTCAGAAGTCTTAATTTTCTACTGAACAGATAGTTTTTAATGATACTGTAATGTAATTTATTAAGAGCGTCTTGAATGTGTTTGGGTTTGTAGATGAGATTTGATGATACGATAAAAGGTTACTTTAGAAGTACTCTTGTTAATAACTGATATGTGGTAGATTTTAAATTAAATTAATTAAAATTTAGTTTAATTTTAACTTTACAAAAAATATTTTTAAAATATATCGCTTTACCTTACAAAGCATAAGTGAATGTCTTATATGAATTGTCAATTTCATGTTTACATTTATTTCCTTTTTAAAACTTTATAATTACTTAGTTGCTCACTGACATTTTATACTCATATGTAAAGATATTCTAAATAATTCAAAGGGTTTTTACGTCACTATCAAAAACCGATAATATCTTGTTCATTACTTATATAAAAACTAATTTCATTTTATAATAATGATTCTTCTTCTTCTACCTGGCAATTTTTCCCAGCTAATTATAATAATGATTATTTAAATTAAAATCAATATATGTTTTGATTAACAACTTAATTAATTAATATCTGAGAATTCTTTTATCCTTAATTAAATCAGATCAATATTTTATTTATCTTTTTTGAAATCTTATTTTAGTATTAAATAAAATGATGTTTGATGAACAGATTAATTTTTATATTAAGAATTAAACTAAAATTGAAAATTACTTGTTACTTTCAACTTATAGAATAGTTACTTCTGTTAAAAATCCCCACTGTTATATTTGTAAATTACCGGAGTTTATTGAGGACATTCCATTTTACGTTGAGATAACTTGATACTACAGTTTCTTGATAATTTTAACAGAATGAAAATTTTACATTTAAAATTGAGTTAAATAATTCAGCTTTACTTATCTCTTTCCTACTCGTAACAAGTATTTCTAAAAATAAAATAAAAGGAAAAGAAAAAATAGGATTTTAAATATTGCGAAACATTAAATTATAACGAAGAAAAGTAAGGCTCTTATCGCTCTTTTTAATGTAAGTTGATTAATAATGTATTAACGCTATTTATTTACCGACAAAAAAGATTATTTTTTTTCATTTTTGCTGAATCCCTAATTCATTAACATAAATTTTCTCTCATGCTAAAGCTTATTAATCTCTTCGAGTCATAATTTTATGTTTCATTTTAATTATCGTATTCGGTGTCTTATTTATTATGAATTATGAATTTCTTAAATTAGAATACAGCCCAGAAGGATGTTTTTACTGGATTTATATTACAAATATTTCGATCGATGATTGGTAAGAAGTGTATGTTTGACTTGTTTATATTACGTTCTTCTTGTTCTTCTTATATTTTTATTATTTTTCCTGTAATATCCAGGGTACAACAGCTCCCACCACGGTCTATCCTTACATAAAACAATTTCTTATATAAAAAATCAATTTAAAATTATAATAGACTTGATCATCGTTTAAATTTTGCAAAATTTTTTTAATATTTAAAAGGGGAAAGTATTCTTTTATCTAATGGCTAACACTTAAGATTTATAAAAGTAACGTAATAAAAATTTGAAGAAACAATTTTATTTAACTATACAATTCGCGATGAACAAAATCTAGCTTCTGATGACGGGCTTTTTGATTCTTGTCAGTCATTTGAGATTCACTTATACAAAGTTAGTTCTGAAGCTTATAAATTATTAAAGGTTTCATATTTCTTTGGGGAAATGAATATAAAAATATCATCATATATCCACAATAGCGTAAATATGAGACAGGAAATTTGCAAATGAATTTATGAGTATGGATCGTTTTCTGTCAAGGAATTTAGTGTATTTTCATTCGAAAGATGAAGGTAGTCGAGACATCGAATTTTAAAATACATTGTTCATTCAAAGTTTACATAATACATACTCCTAACATTTCCCGTCGCAGCAAGTTCTAATATATCGTTAATTGAACACAAATAGAAGAGAATTTTAAAATGATTCAAGCGCGCATCTCAGAATTTGTTTTTTGAGATGGAAGAGCCTAACTGTGGTCATACGATTACGGCTTGAACATGGGCTTGCTCATCCCGGGAAATAGCACCCTCTCACAGAAGATCGGCGTGAAGTAGCCAATAGTGGCAGCGTTTGATCTGATTAGTGAGAGAGCCGGTTAATCTTTCTTTTTCCCATCCTTTCCATTCCCAATATACTGATGTTTGCAATGGCTTTCAAAGGCCTAAGTATATTTTGAGATATTAATCGTGTTTCATCAGAATAAAGTCCGGGAGACCCTACAACTGCGGGTCGGACTGGGCGTCCTTCCGTACTCCGTGCCAGCGACACACAAGACTCGACAATCAGTTCAGACCAAGGGCAAAGTTGTTTGTTAGATAATTATGGAATCATCAACATCCTTCCATCATTTTCTTCACTTCAAAGGCGGCAAAGTATCCGTAACATAGTGTTATGGTTATGTTAAATAATAATAAAACAAAAATTCAAATACACTTTAAATAATCCAATGTTATGGTTGTGCATTACTAATACATACATTACTAATACATATATGCACTTACTTATATGTGTATTGTCTAGTTCACTGTATTTTATAATTCACAAACAGATACTTTGTTGGCCCTTGTATAAATTCCACGTAGTCAATATAAATTCTAATTAAGTATATGTATTACCCGAACTTTTACCAACAAATAACCTCGTTTAATTAAATTTGGATATTTTTCCATT